TCCCCAGCCCCATCCCCAGGGAGGGAGCCCGGGGGTCCTGGCCACCAGCGCGGGGCTGGGTCACCTCCCCGAGCCAGGAGGGCCCCAGGCGTCCCTGGAGAAGCCCAGCTCTGCCCCTGACCCCGCACGGGGCCGAGCAGGGTCGGGGGGATGTGCAGCCAGGATTTCTAAAGGCCTTCTTCGCTTTCCTTCAGAAGTCGTACGCTTCCCTGCAGAGGGTTTCAGCCACTGTCTTAGCAGTAAGGGAAACTGAGGCACGACCCAATGCGTGTTCCCAGTTCATTGTGGCTTAGCAGCATCTTTAAAAACCTGGGTTAGCTTTAAGCTGGAGTGACTCAGGCCGTTGAAGTGGCATTTTTCTGCGTGAAAAATACACTTTTCTGGCTCTCTCAATGCTATCCTGTGTGTGATGTGAGATACTTCAAGCTTTGGAGGCCGAGAGCAGGATCAAGAGGCGGCTTTGCCCAGTGAGGAGCAGCGGCAGGAGCCGGGAGGGGTCTTTCCCTGGGAACACCATCAGCACAGAGGCACCCACGGGGTCACAGGGGCGCTCCGGGGTCTTCTGCTGACGCACACGGCAGGCACAGGCATGGCCGGGGGGGCTCACACCTCCCCGCAGGCGTTGCCGGGTCTCCTCCTGAAACAAAACCGCTCGGAGATCTAAGTTTTGAATTCTTGTAATTTGCTCTGAATCATTCTGGAACGGTCGCTGCAGGTGAGTCAACCTGGGGGAAAAAACTAAAAATAAACCGCAAAGTCACACTTCATTCACGTTTGGGAGGTACTGGGGGAAGGTCAGGGCACGCGCAGCGTCGTGCTGCCGATGGGTGACGGTGACTCCAGCAACGAGCCGGGGCAGCGAACAGGTGCTGGCTTCTCCCCAGCTGCTCTGGGCGCAAGAATCGACCCAAAATACAATTTTTCCCAGTTATTGAGCAATTTTGAGAACTGTGGGAGAAAATACCAAGGGTCCAAACCCAACAAAGCAGATCAGAAGGGAGGGAAAAAATCTAGAGCAAAGTTTGCATTGGGCTTGGGGGGAGATGCGTTGTTTCAGGCACCAATTTTTCTAAGGTTTTAATTAAGAAAGTAGCAACTTTTAGTGTTGAAGCTACTTCCCCCAGGCCATCCCACTTGGTTAAAGGGAAATCCAAACTCCAAGCTGCAAGCCCTCGGCGCTTGCCCTGCGTGTCCTACTCGGGGCGGGCAGCTGAGCCACCACGGGGTGCCATGGGGGGTCCCTGTGGACGGAGCGAGGGGAGCGGCGCGGGTGGCGGG